CAGTCCATCTTGGTCGGGTCCCCTCCGAATCCAGCGTGTCCCCTTCAAGCCACAGCCCCTGGAACCTGATCGAATACCCACCTGTGCTTTAGGCACACACATCCCTGCTCACACTAGAGAGCATGGACATTAAACGGTGGTGTTTGTGGCTCTCAGCACGAACAAAGAACATCAGTCACCTCTCGCGTATGAACGTTTCCAGTGAGGGAGAACGTCATTACTTGAGACTCAAGTCCAAAGCAACCGAGGGTCCTTGCATCCCCAGGATTCTCTTGCTCCAGACTTGCTTCAGTACCACGCAGGGCACTTTGGCCCGTAATTCTTGTTTTCTTTTTAGGAAGAGGGAACTGAGGTTGGCTGAGGCATCTGAGCCAGCCCCGGGCATTGAGGCATCAGATATGACGACACAATTTCTGGGAACAGTATCCCGAAGGTGCTGTTTGCAGGGTGACTTCGCGTTAGCACAGAGCTTTTTGGGAAGGCAGAGAAAGTTGCTGCAATGTGGAGGTCAGGGCCCTCGAGCAGGGGTTCCCTGTTTTGGAGTAGGGGGTTTTCGGGGTGTTTGTGAGACATTCCTACTCATCACTTTCTTGGTTTTAGAGATTCCCTGGTTGTGAAAAAGGAAATGAATGCCCGCCAGGCCCTCCCCAGACTCCTTCCTGGGAATCGGGTGTTCAGAGGAGAAGGGAAGAGGGAGGTGTTGGTTACGAGGCCTGCGTGACAAGTACCACAGACTAGGTGGTTGAACCCCAGACATTTCTCTTCTCACAGGTCCGGGGGCTGGAAGCCTGAGATCAGGCTGTGGCAGGGTTGGTTGCTTTTGAGGTGTCTCTCCTTGGCTTGCAGATGGCTGTTTTCTTCCTGTGTCTTCACATGGTGTTTCCGTGTACATGTCTGTGTCTAACTTCTGTCATAGGAACAGCAGTCATATTGGATGAGCCCACTCTGAAGACCTCATTTTAATTGAATCACCTCTTTAAAGATCTTATATCTGAGTATAGTCACATTGTGAGTTATGGGGGGGGGGGGGGTTAGGACTTCAACATATGAATTTTGAACCGAGGAGGAGACAGTTAAGTCCATACAGAAGGGAATTAGCATTTACATTCAATGATAGAACTACTGATGAACCCCGATTGCTTCGTTGGGGTTCTTCGAGAACGGAGCCAGGCCGTGGGGAATGTTCGAAGGTGTGTGTGCATCAGAAAGGCTTGAATAAATGTAACACAACTTGGAGGGTCATAATGACTGTCACAGATAAAATCTGAGTATTCAAGTTGTGTCCCTTGTCCAGGTCCAGAATGTGTATGCCGAAGCCTAAGAAGAAGGGTTGAATGATCACTTGGGACAGAAAACTGAGTGCCTTCTCATTGGGGGTTTCCTGGTGAGGTTTCCTGTGTATTAGCATCCAGGCTTCAGTCTGTTGGGGGCCGGTTTCTACAACCCATGGAAATGTCTCCTGTTTCAGAGGCAATGGACTCCCTAACTGCATATTAAAAAGAACAGTCTTAACAGTGTTCATTTTTTTTTTTTTTTTTTAATCCTCACCCGAGGACATTTTTACATTTTTGGTTAGAGTGGGAGGGAGGGAGGAAGAGAGAGAGAGAGAGAGAGAAAGAGAAACATCGAAGTGAAAGGGACACATCGAGTGGCTGCCACCCGCACAACCAACCAGGGCCGGGGACTAACTGCAACTGAGGTACATGCCCTTAGCGGGAACCGAACCCGGGTCTCTCTGGACCACAGGCTGACGCTCTAACCGCTGAGCCAAATTGGCCAGGGCAACAGTGTTCATTTTTTTTTTTTTTTTTATCTAAAAAGAAACCTCAGTCTTAAAAGACATATAGAAGGAACTCAAAGCCAAATTCTCTATAATTTCCCCAAACAGCTTTTGTTGTTTAGAGGACATGTTCCTAGCTAACGGAACACCAAGCTGGTGAATGCACTTCAGCTCATCCACGTGTTAACAGTCTGGGGTGAATGTCGGCGCATCTGTGTGCTCATGGGCTGGGCCGACCGCAGGGTCCTCCCAGCTGAGAAGCTCATGCTGGACAACGTGGCCTCATCTCCGTGGCTCTTGGCTTGCAGTCCCCTTGCCGTGTGCAGACGTGACTGTTTGTCATCCCCTTCCTGGGATGGTGATGACGCGCACTAGGCCCCTTTTGTGAACCGGGTGTGCGGTGGCATCTCTCCTCCGTGCCCTCTGCTCTTATATGTCCTCTGAAGGTGAAACCCAGGCGGAGTGCAGCCTCTTGCTATCTCTTTCAACTGCTCCGGTGCCTTGTGGGAGGAGCTGTTTACCCTGAGACCCATGCTTCCACATAGAAGACCGGTTACCTAATTTATATGCCCAAGAAAGGGGCAGCTTACGGAAGGCAAACAGGTTAGGGAGAGACATGCTTTCCTAGTGGATTTCGTCCGGGAATTTTATCTCCAGGGACAGGAAACACCGCTTCATAGTGGTGCAGTTTCTCTGACTTCTTGACTTCAGCGGTGTTGATAGAAGCTTGTTATCACTGTCTGGGGTCAAGAATGTCCCTTAAGCTTCAGGCACCAGGGCATGAAGAGTCCCACATAGTGGGCATGTTCCTCCCTCACTTCGGCTTTCGAAGTGGAGAACATTAATTAAGATCGCGGGGCAGATTTACCTAACCCTTAGGGAAGAAAGACGAGTTAATAGACTTCAGTTTTCTCACTGCTGCTACTGCTTCTGAAATAGGATTTACACAGTTAATTGGCTCTTGTGGAGCAGCCCCTCTGCCTCGTGCGTGGTTCTTAGACTGAAGTTAATATTGGAAAAAATCTAACTCTTCACATTGTAAAAGTCTGATAATTGTTTGTTGAATTAATTATGTGAACATTGGTTCCAGGACAAACAAATGTGGTAATATACGTGCAATGGGATATTATTCAGGCATCAAAAGGAATGGAATTCTGACACATGGTACAGTGTGGGTGAACCTTGAAAACACTATATACTTAGTGAAATATGGACAAAAAGGGACAAATATGTGATTCCATTTGTATGAGTTGCCTCAATTAGGCAAAGTCATAGAGACAGAAAGTAGAATAGTGGCTATTGGGCTGAGGGAGGGGAATTGGGGACTTACTGTGTCATGGGCACAGAGATTCCGGTTGAGATGATGAAAAAGGTCCGGAGATGAGTAGCGGTGATGGTTGATAACGTTGTGAATGTGCTTAATGCCACTGAACTGCACACTTGAAATGTTAAAGGGTGAATTTGATGTTACGTATTTTTTGCCATAAAAACATTTTAGAAAAAATTGATTCCAGTGCCGGAAGAGGATATGACTTCTGCAAATGCAAAAATGTAAACTTAAATCTCAGTTTATAAACCTTTGAGGGAAGTGTTCCTGGGGATCCGCCCCTCGTCAGCAGTCGAGAAAACCTGTACTGCAGGCGGTTCCAGAGACCACAGCCTCAGACGGCTATAGCCTGATTCCCACCCAGCTTTTTGGTGGGAGAAACAATCATATTTTTGGGAATATCTCATAGGATATGGAGTTCATTCATTCTTCCAGAAAGTCTCCTCTTTATCCCTGAATCAAGCCAGATGATCTGACTGTGATGCACTTTGACCTTGTATCTTGCCCAGAGGGAAGCAACAAGAAGCATTACAGGAGGCTCCCTATGGTGTACACCCAGGGGCAGTATCAATTACCACTCTCCCCCCTGACATCCTAGTGTGGATGACAAAGGATACTTTGACAGTTTACCCAAGAAAAAGAAGGTTAATGCCTTGGGAAAAATTTCTTCATGACAGGAAAAAGTTAACACCCTTGAGAAATATGTGCATTGTGTTTCATCTTAAAGTCAATGTGATTATCTTGTGTCTGTTTTCTTCTTTGCTTTGGCCACTAGGATGCTCAGGATCCAATTTATGAACCATATCAAGTAATAGTTTACTACTTTATAACATACATTTCTGTGGACTAACTTTTCCTCATATTCTTGTAGTCTCTTTTTAAAAAAAATGTTGTCTTCTTTACATAGTATATGTGTATTATAAGCCAACTTATCTTTTCCTGACATTAGATGGTATATTAGTTAGGGTTATCTGGAGAACCAACCCAGTGAGACGGGGCGGGGGGGGAGGAGAGTGAGTTTAAGGAATTGACTGACATGAGGGTGGAGGTGGCCAGGCCAGCAGGCTGGAGACTCAGAGGGAACTCAGTCTTCATTCTTACGGCCTGAGCTGATTTGATGAGGCCCACCCACGTTACAGTGGGTCATCTGCAGGACTCAAAGTTGTTAATGACATTTAAAACATGTCTTTACAGCAATATCTAGATGTGTTTGAGCAAACAGTTGGGCACCATAGCCCAGCCAAGTTGATTAAACACATAAAATCAACCATCACAGATAGGGATATAAATATATAACAAAGTTTGTCAAAATTGGGCATAATTGTTATTTGTCTTTTCCATTTGCTTGAGTGCATGTAGACACAGTTTCCAGTTCCCTCCCACCTCCTCATCTAGGTTCAAATCTCATGTAGTCATGATTTCATCAGCTGGTCGGCTGCCTTCCAAAGCAGGGATGGTTCAACGGCATAGAGCCTGCATTGTGTGTGGATGTGAATGTGTGAATGTGCTGACCTGCCAACATACCCTGATGCATGTCAGTGTTACAGAGTTCTGCCAGCTTCTTGCTCATCAGCCATTTTTGTGGAGGGACGTGTTGCGGCGTATGATTTCACCAGTTATTCCCATTCCCAACTAGATGGGGCCCAGGGGTGTGTTCCTGGGACGTCAGCTCACTCTCTCCATAACCTTGCAGCAGTACCCGACTTGATTGTACCCAGGAATGTTGCGCACTTGATACTGTTCAGTTGTTCAGTTGGTTCTATCGCTGCTGTTCTGCTCTGTGAGGTCGTCAAACATCCGGACACCTGCCTTTTGTGAGAAAACATTCCAGTTGTTCAGAAATGTAGCTCGCTGTCGGCACTGGCTCTTACCTTCTCTTTTTATCTTTGGTAGGCTGTGGCTGCTTCCTCTGGGCACAGACCTTGTCGCTGTTGGAGAGGAATCTGAGTGCCACGCTCCCTCTCTCAAGGTAAGAAGTGAGGTGATTACGGGTGGCCTGGGCGTTTCCTTTGGAAGCTCTGGACTGGGTTGACAGGGATCCCCGTGCACTCTTGAATGCTGTGGGGCTCTGTCTTTAGCCCGTATCCTTGGCAATGTGCCAGGCTTTCTAGCCCATTCTCACCCTTCCCTGCTCACTGTGGTCCTGGCACTTCAAAGCCTGGTTTTGGTCCATTTCTGGTGAACCCAAGGCGGGAGTCCCCCTGCTCAGGGGATGAGGAGTGAATCAGCGTCTTCCCTGCTTCCCACACGGTACACTAATTTGATCAATGGAAAGAGACCCTTCTAGAGTCATGGTCCCAGGGATGGGGTGAGACTATCGGGCGAGTGGGAAGTGATGCTCAAAAGAGTCTCTGTCAAGTGTAATACATTGCTAACTCTACTTAGTAAGTGTATGCGTATTTACTGAGCCTTTGTAATCAGAGGACATTTAAATGTTAAGGATTAGAAAAAAGGCTGCTGATCCAAAAGTAGGGTGAGAGTGTCACTGTAACAGAGAAGAGGCAACAGCACCGACGTGGGCACATTGAAAGCCGGGTTTTACCGATGCCTGCTTTGTACTTCATTTTGCCCTTTAAATTGAGGTGTGGTGCTTAGTACACAGGCTGACCAGGTCCGACTGTTCGGCAAGTCTCCATTTTCCCAGTGAGAAAACTGACCTGAGCTCCGGTTTTCTGAGGTCAGGCTGCTAAGACCAAGGAATGTCTCTTCGAGGCTTCAGGGACCTCAGCCTGGTCTGCTGAGTAATCTCCCTGGCATGGGCTCTGAGCTGCCAGCCCAGCAGTCTGGCTGGCCTGCAGACCTCCCACCTTGCATCCCAGGTAAAGGGGCAGCCGCCAAAGGAAGTTGTCTGAGATTGTGAGCTGATGGGGTCTGCGCCATGTTTACCTTCCTGGTTCTCGTCTAAAGAGCAGAATGAATTATTAGCACTCGTGTTTGTTCATGCTAATTATGTGTTTCAGGTACAAAGCAGTATTCTGTAGATGTCTACTAAGATGTTTTACTCCTTGCCTTTTTTAAAGAATGATGTTGTACTACCTTAATTAGGAAGAAAACAAGTAGGAATCTGTGTGTTATCATCACTTACCCCTCAGGGAATATTGGGTGGAGTGCAAGCTGCTACTTCAACTTAAGAGTCTACTATTAATAAACCCGAAGTAGCCCTGGCTGGTTTGGCTCAGCGGTTAGTGTGCCAGCCTGTGGACCGAAGAGTCGAGGGTTCGATTCTGGTCAAGGGCATGTAGCTTCGTTGCCCTCCTATGGGAGGCTGCGGTCCTGCGGGAGGCGACCAACTGATGCATCTCTCTCACATCAGTGTTTCTCTCTCTCTCTCCCTTCCTTTCTCCCTTCCACTCTATCTGAAAAAATCAATGGAAAAATATCCTCAGGTGAGGATTAAAAAACAAAACAAAACCCTGAAGTATATGGGGATCAGAGAAGTGACGGTCCAGCAATGAGACATGGGGTGATCTCCCAAAGCAAGGAAACATAATGCCTGTGTAGTTATAGTGCTAAACGCAGTGTCAGGATCATCATCATGATAGTCATAATAATAATGATAACAATGGCAATAAAAAACAACAACTCTAATGTTGACCGTTTCTGCCACCACTATCATTTCAACTAACATTTATTGGCTCCTGCTCTCTGCCAGGCACTAGAAGAGGGAGCATTTTATTTGTATTTTTCTTTCTTAATCTGCAGAGGAAACTGAGGTTTAAAGCGTTTAGGTAAGTTGCTCAGAGTAGGACAGCCAAGCCAAGCCAAAGGGGGCAGAGTCGGGATGTCACTAAATGAGCGGCACAGAGTGGGGTCGACCACACGGCAGCTTCACCCCACGCGCAGGTCTTTATGGCTGGATTCCACTCGGCTTTCACACTTGACCCTGCTCACATGCCCTTTGCCCTCTGCCCACCTACCATTGACATTTTGTCTCTGCACTGACGAAGTCAAAACATTAAAAATATATACTGTTGACAATAATGTATATATATGTGTGTGTGTGTGTGTGTGTGTAGTTCAAGATTGTGAAAGAGTATTTGGCTTATAGAGAATATAGAGAAAATAATGAAGATTAAAAATCACCCAGTTTGGAAAGAGGCCAGTGCTGTAAGCCTCGAACACATCAGCGTGCTTTGCTCTTGCCTTTCCTGGATAGTCTGTTCGCATAGTTACTATATGAGTTTTGAATTTTAAAAGTAACAAGTGTTTTCTTGAGCCTTTGCTTTCACGAGCCTATCCTAATGGCTGCTGTGTATGGTTGGAGGGCCCTTAAGTTTATTCCACAGGAAGCTGTGTCCTCGAGTTGCTCCCCTGTGCAAGCGCAGAGCTGCTCACCGGATGGGATGGCCCACTTCTGTCTGCTGACAGTCGGGCCGGAACTGTGGGGTGGCTTCGGGGTTCGGCAGGAGTCCTGCTGGCCTGGAGCCCAGGACCCAGAGGTGGCTCTGCCCCAAAACGAGCTGCGAACCCTCGGCTTACTGACTTCAGTTGTGCCCCTTCCTCTGTGGACCACTTACATCTGGTCCGCTCTGAGATTCCAGGAAATAGGGACTTTTCTAACCTCTCTTGGTTTATAACCTAATCAGTTTCAATTGATGCAGCACTTTGGGTGGAGCTCAGCTGGGTTACTAGCAGGGAGTTTAGTTTTTCAAGATGACCAGACCTGTAAACTCTTCAAAGGTGAGATGTCTTAGCTACTTTTCTATAATTCTCCCCATGCTCACACACCCACAGAATAGACAGTACAAAGTAGCTGCTCAATAAATATGAGATGAACAGACAGATATATGCACGACAGATGCTACTGGTCTTGATCTAAGAACCTTCAACACTAAGGCTGATTCAATTTATCAAATGAATAAGATGGTTTCATTTAGATGTGGTGACGTTACTTATAATAGACAGGGACTTTTAAGCCTCCAGAATCTCTCATAACATATTTCAGAGTGTTTTTCCTACCAAGACAATTACCAACTTTCCCCGCGTGTTACAGATGAAAGAACACTGATCTATGGAACTTGGTATTTTTTCCCTGTACTGTGTATAGTTGGGGTTTTTTGCTTAGGTTACAGAAAAATCAAAGCTTACAATATCATTTTCTTGCTGTGAACAGCAGAAATAATGAAGGCCTTTGGGGCTTCTTGCGTTCTTGGAGAGACATATCTGGGGCATGCGGATTACATGCTTGATTCTGACTGGCTCCCCCTGGTTCTCACCTGGTGATGCTGACCTTGAATTGGTTTGCTCACACCTTAAATGTGTCTACCCACTTCATTGTGCAATATTTAAGACCCATGGCATAGAGCTACTTCCAATGAGGCCAGGTCTTGCCATTTCTGGCCCCGTAGTCATCACAGACTAAAAGGAACCAAATTGTGTCTCCCCACCCTCCCGGAAAGACCCAGTTTGGCTCCTACCTTGGCACAGAAAGCTTGCCTCCATCTCCAGGTTTGATCGTTCATGAGTCTCAGCTTTTCCCGAGTTGATATGCTGACAGCAGTGGCCTAGCTGGGTGGGCAGGAGGCGGGTGAGATGAGAGCTTGGAAGCACCAGGCAGCGGCTGGTAAGCCTGCCGGTAAGACCTCCTTTGATTTGGCTCTGGAGCAGTTCTCTCTTGTTGCACAATAATAAACCACTCAAACTCAGTGGCTTAAAACAACAACCCTTTTATTTGCTTATGATTCTGTGGGTCAGCAGTTTGGGTTGGGCTCCGCCAGCCTCCCCTGGGGTCACTCATGCCGCTGCCTGGTGATCTAGGAGACCTCAGCCGGGATAACTCATCTCTGTCATTTGCCTTCATTCTCCAAAAGGCCAGCTCAGGCTCCCTCACCTGACGGCTGCCCAGCAAGAAGACAAGAGCAGAAACTGTCCATTCTGTTGGTGAAAAAATGTCATCGGGCCAGCCCACAGGGGACAGGGTTGAACTTAGACTATTAATGGAATAGCTGTTAAGAATTCATGGTCACTTAAAATTTATCATAGGCTGTTAACCTGGATATAGGAAAGCCATCTGAAATTACTCTGTTTTAAAATGATTTCATGTTGGCTTTAAACTTTCTTGGAGTAGGGATGATGTTGTCAGCCTATCTGAGAGAAGTGTGGAAAACAGAGGTTTTCTGTAACATACTGCAGAATATAATAATGTAGATAGCAGTAATAATGACAAATATTAATATTGTTCTTAGAATATGCCAACCACTGTTTTAAGTTCTTTACATATCATAATGCAGTTGGTCATTACAAAAGCTTATGAGTAGGTATTATTTTAATACCCATTTTATAGAATCCTGAGGCCCAGTGAGGTTAGGTGACTTCCCCCAATGTCGTTAAAGTTACAGCGTGGCAGACCTGAGATTTTGCCTGGGCAGACTGGCTCCGGAGTCTGTGCACTAACTCCAAATGCCTCGCAAGTGAATGGAAACGGATTTTTCCTGACTCTGAGCAGAGTTCTGTCTTGGACTATGTAGTTTTTTGAGAGGCAGGGGGATTGGCTATTTGGAGAGGGATACTAAGCCTTTTTGGGTGCACCAGTGTGGCCAGAAATGGGGCTGGTCACATTGTAGGAGACCCCAACTGGACATAATAAAGATCCCATGCAACAGAGTGTCATTTTCCTGGCTATAAATGTGTGGGCGTGTCTGGTGATGGTGGTGGTCATGATTGTGGTCATGGTCTTACTTTGCTCTTTTGCTGGGTGTGTTTGAAGGCGCTTAATAATGTCTTCCCTCACCTTTCCGATAGCCTCTTGCTCTTGGCTTCAGGTAATCAGAAAGCCTCAGTTCCAAAGAAAATATTGTGGTTATTTAGCTTTTTGTTTAAGGGTGAGTTAACAGCGTCCTTTATACAGCACTTGTGGAACTAAATTTTGTCCATTCTCTAGGTAGTGCCAGGTGGTTTACCTAAGGAAGTGACAAATTTTACTGACATGAGTCGAGTGACCTCTAGGACCAGTGTCTTAGTAATGGGCCC